AGTGCGTCCTCGGCATGTGACGAAGGTCGCTGCGGGGTCTTCTGATCAGCCGGCTGAGGCGCGGACGCCCGCTGCAGCCCCCACTCATGCACCTCCTCCTCGTCCTCGTCATCCTCCCAGTCATCCGTACAGTGGGGTGAGAAGTGGGCTGCGCTGCGGCGATGAGGCACGGGGTTCTGCGGCAATGAGGCGAGGAGGATGAGGAGGAGGAGGAGGAAGAGGAGGAGGAGGAGGAGGGGGAGGATGAGATTTGAGCAGGTGGGTGAGGGTACCTGCCGTTACCCTCATACGCAGTCCTCGGTGGGCACCGGTACTTCCCAATCGACTGAGAGTCATTTCATTAAGTCCTCGTTTCCAGCTGCATGCCACGTGCACTTCCTGCTCACCTCACTTGCCGTGTCTCCCATCTCTTCTCGCCTCTTCGCTACCTGTCTGTCATCCTTCACAAGTGTCCCGTGCCCCATGGACAGTTCCATCTTCAGGTCCAGTGTGTGCGTCCGTATCTTTGTCTTGTCGAATACTTGTGCCCCACATGTTTCGTGCCCCAGAAGGGACTCCATCTACGGCCCCCAGTGGGTGCGCCCGCATACTGGTCCTTTGCCCTTCTGGTGCGCCACTTACACGTTGAGTGCCCCTCACTAAATTAGTAGGTGGGCTCAACGGCGGCGACACCAGTGGGGGCGCCTTCGCATTTGCCTGGGACTGTCCTGGTGGACCTGGCACAGGTTTCGTGCACCAGAGGGGGCCCTAACTGCGGCCCTAGCGGGCGCGCCCCCGCATTTCTTGCCAAAGAGGAGGCCCCCATGAAGGCCCCAGTGGGTGCGCCCGCACACTGGACTCGTACCGTTCTGTCGCGCCCCTCACGCATGGCGTGCTTCATGGAGAGCTGCAGCCACGGCCCCAGTGGGTGCGCCCGCATACTGACTGGTCCTGTGCTGCTCTGTCGCACATCTTATCCTTATCAGCGCCATTCTCATTCTCCGCCTGAGCCCGTTGTGGTCCGAGACGACGCAGCTTACCAAGACGCCAAAGACAGATTCTTGTCTTGCCAAATTCACCGTTCTCTGCTTGCCCAAAGAGACCTACATTCGCAGCCATGCCGATCTCCAAGGAGATTCTGATGCATGGCGTCGCGGTGGCCCTGGTCACCGCCCACCTGCTCGGGGGATCCAGCCCATGGGTCTCCAAGTCCACCGCGGTCACGGTTGCCATCGTCCAGAGCGTCAACGCGCTCGGGGCCCTGGCGGCTCGCCCGTACCAGCAGCGCGTGGAGGCGCAGCGGCGGCGGAAGGCTCGCCCCGATGACGAGCTGGCGGCCAGCCCTGTCGCCACCGAGAGCTTGCTCACAATCGCCGCCCGGTGCCGGCCCAGCGCGCGCGGAGTGGCCGCGCTCCAGTTCGCTGGCGGCGGCTGCGTGATCTTCGCCCTCGCCCGTGGCCTGAAGCTCAGCGGTCGCGCTGACCAAGCCGCAGGCACGCCGTGCTGCCAGCACTCGTCCTTGGCGCTCGGGGCACGCCTTTGCTCCTGAGGGCCCTGGCAGGAGGTCGCAAGCGAGCAGGAGAGCGCGGGCGAGCTCGAGCCACAGAGCACGCCGGAGAGAGGACGAGTGCTCGACCCCCGCCGAGATCCGTACGCCCGTCCTTCTGGGAGCCAGGGATGGCATCCGCAAGAGTCGGCGAGGGGCCGCCCAGATCGGAGCAGACGAGGCCGTTACGTTTGTACCTCAGTTGAGCCCTCGGCATGTGACGAAGGTCGCTGCGGGGTCTTCTGATCAGCCGGCTGAGGCGCGGACGCCCGCTGCAGCCCCCACTCATGCACCTCCTCCTCGTCCTCGTCATCCTCCCAGTCATCCGTACAGTGGGGTGAGAAGTGGGCTGCGCTGCGGCGATGAGGCACGGGGTTCTGCGGCAATGAGGCGAGGAGGATGAGGAGGAGGAGGAGGAAGAGGAGGAGGAGGAGGAGGGGGAGGATGAGATTTGAGCAGGTGGGTGAGGGTACCTGCCGTTACCCTCATACGCAGTCCTCGGTGGGCACCGGTACTTCCCAATCGACTGAGAGTCATTTCATTAAGTCCTCGTTTCCAGCTGCATGCCACGTGCACTTCCTGCTCACCTCACTTGCCGTGTCTCCCATCTCTTCTCGCCTCTTCGCTACCTGCCTGTCATCCTTCACAAGTGTCCCGTGCCCCATGGACAGTTCCATCTTCAGGTCCAGTGTGTGCGTCCGTATCTTTGTCTTGTCGAATACTTGTGCCCCACATGTTTCGTGCCCCAGAAGGGACTCCATCTACGGCCCCCAGTGGGTGCGCCCGCATACTGGTCCTTTGCCCTTCTGGTGCGCCACTTACACGTTGAGTGCCCCTCACTAAATTAGTAGGTGGGCTCAACGGCGGCGACACCAGTGGGGGCGCCTTCGCATTTGCCTGGGACTGTCCTGGTGGACCTGGCACAGGTTTCGTGCACCAGAGGGGGCCCTAACTGCGGCCCTAGCGGGCGCGCCCCCGCATTTCTTGCCAAAGAGGAGGCCCCCATGAAGGCCCCAGTGGGTGCGCCCGCACACTGGACTCGTACCGTTCTGTCGCGCCCCTCACGCATGGCGTGCTTCATGGAGAGCTGCAGCCACGGCCCCAGTGGGTGCGCCCGCATACTGACTGGTCCTGTGCTGCTCTGTCGCACATCTTATCCTTATCAGCGCCATTCTCATTCTCCGCCTGAGCTCGTTGTGGTCCGAGACGACGCAGCTTACCAAGACGCCAAAGACAGATTCTTGTCTTGCCAAATTCACCGTTCTCTGCTTGCCCAAAGAGACCTACATTCGCAGCCATGCCAATCTCAAGGAGATTCTGATGCATGCGGTCGCGGTGGCCCTGTCACCGCCCCCTGCTCGGGGGATCCCCCCATGGGTCTCCAAGTCCACCGCGTCACGGTTGCCATCGTCCAGAACGTCAACGCGCTCGGGCCCTGGCGCGGCTCGCCCGTACAGCATCGCGTGGAGGCGCAGCGGCGGGCGGAAAGGCTCGCCCCGATGGACGAGCTGGCCCGGTCCTGTCGCCACCGAAGACTTTGGAGCAATCGCCGCCCGGTCCGCCCAGCGCGCGCGGATGTGGCCGCGCTCCAGTTCGCTGGCGGCGGCGGCGTGATCTTCATCTCAGGCCCGTGGCCTGAAGCTCAGCGGCGCGCTGACCAAGCCGCAGCACGCCGTGCTGCCAGCACTCGTCCTGGCGCTCGGGACACGCCTGCTCCTGAGGGCCCTGGCAGGAGGTCGCAAGCCCGAGCAGGAGAGCGCGGGCGAGCTCGAGCCAGAGCACGCCGACGACGAGGACGAGTGCTCCGACCCCGCCGAGGATCCGTACCGCCCGTCCTTCTGGGAGGATCTCACCGAGGAAGAGTCGACCGAGGGGCCGCCCAGCTCGGAGCAGACGAGCGCCGACGTGTACCTCAAGTGCGTCCTCGGCATGTGACGAAGGTCGCTGCGGGGTCTTCTGATCAGCCGGCTGAGGCGCGGACGCCCGCTGCAGCCCCCACTCATGCACCTCCTCCTCGTCCTCGTCATCCTCCCAGTAATCCGTACAGTGGGGTGAGAAGTGGGCTGCGCTGCGGCGATGAGGCACGGGGTTCTGCGGCAATGAGGCGAGGAGGATGATGATGATGATGATGATGATGATGATGATGAGGAGGAGGAGGAGGAGGAGGAGGAGGGGGAGGAGGAGACTTGAGCAGGTGGGTGAGGGTACCTGCCGTTACCCTCATACCCAGTCCTCGGTGGGCACCGGTACTTCCCAATCGACTGAGAGTCATTTCATTAAGTCCTCGTTTCCAGCTGCATGCCACGTGCACTTCCTGCTCACCTCACTTGCCGTGTCTCCCATCTCTTCTCGCCTCTTCGCTACCTGTCTGTCATCCTTCACAAGTGTCCCGTGCCCCATGGACAGTTCCATCTTCAGGTCCAGTGTGTGCGTCCGTATCTTTGTCTTGTCGAATACTTGTGCCCCACACGTTTCGTGCCCCAGAAGGGACTCCATCTACGGCCCCCAGTGGGTGCGCCCGCATACTGGGCCTTTGCCGCTTCTGGTGCGCCACTTACACGTTGAGTGCCCCTCACTAAATTAGTAGGTGGGCTCAACGGCGGCGACACCAGTGGGGGCGCCTTCGCATTTGCCTGGGACTGTCCTGGTGGACCTGGCACAGGTTTCGTGCACCAGAGGGGGCCCTAACTGCGGCCCTAGCGGGCGCGCCCCCGCATTTCTTGCCAAAGAGGAGGCCCCCATGAAGGCCCCAGTGGGTGCGCCCGCACACTGGACTCGTACCGTTCTGTCGCGCCCCTCACGCATGGCGTGCTTCATGGAGAGCTGCAGCCACGGCCCCAGTGGGTGCGCCCGCATACTGACTGGTCCTGTGCTGCTCTGTCGCACATCTTATCCTTATCAGCGCCATTCTCATTCTCCGCCTGAGCCCGTTGTGGTCCGAGACGACGCAGCTTACCAAGACGCCAAAGACAGATTCTTGTCTTGCCAAATTCACCGTTCTCTGCTTGCCCAAAGAGACCTACATTCGCAGCCATGCCGATCTCCAAGGAGATTCTGATGCATGGCGTCGCGGTGGCCCTGGTCACCGCCCACCTGCTCGGGGGATCCAGCCCATGGGTCTCCAAGTCCACCGCGGTCACGGTTGCCATCGTCCAGAGCGTCAACGCGCTCGGGGCCCTGGCGGCTCGCCCGTACCAGCAGCGCGTGGAGGCGCAGCGGCGGCGGAAGGCTCGCCCCGATGACGAGCTGGCGGCCAGCCCTGTCGCCACCGAGAGCTTGCTCACAATCGCCGCCCGGTGCCGGCCCAGCGCGCGCGGAGTGGCCGCGCTCCAGTTCGCTGGCGGCGGCTGCGTGATCTTCGCCCTCGCCCGTGGCCTGAAGCTCAGCGGCGCGCTGACCAAGCCGCAGCACGCCGTGCTGCCAGCACTCGTCCTGGCGCTCGGGACACGCCTGCTCCTGAGGGCCCTGGCAGGAGGTCGCAAGCCCGAGCAGGAGAGCGCGGGCGAGCTCGAGCCAGAGCACGCCGACGACGAGGACGAGTGCTCCGACCCCGCCGAGGATCCGTACCGCCCGTCCTTCTGGGAGGATCTCACCGAGCAAGAGTCGGCCGAGGGGCCGCCCAGCTCGGAGCAGACGAGCGCCGACGTGTACCTCAAGTGCGTCCTCGGCATGTGACGAAGGTCGCTGCGGGGTCTTCTGATCAGCCGGCTGAGGCGCGGACGCCTGCTGCAGCCCCCACTCATGCACCTCCTCCTCGTCCTCGTCATCCTCCCAGTCATCCGTACAGTGGGGTGAGAAGTGGGCTGCGCTGCGGCGATGAGGCACGGGGTTCTGCGATAGCAGGGGGCACGGGGGAAAACATTCTGACCTCTTGCCAGCACGATTGTCAGAGGAAGAGGGAGGTTGATGATGATGCTGCTGATGATGATGATGTTGATACTGATGCTGATGCTGATGATGATGCTGATGATGATGCTGATGATGATGCTGCTGCTGCTGATGATGATGATGATGATGATGATGATGATGATAATGATGGTGAGCAGGAGGAGGAGGAGGACGAGGAGGAGGAGGAGAAGGAGGAGGAGGAGGAGGAGGAGCAGGAGGGGGAGGAGGAGGAAGAGGAGGAGGAGTTTTGAGGAGGTGGGTGAGGACAGCTGCCGTTACCCTCATACCCAGGCCCCAGCGGGCACCGGTACTTCCTGACCGACTGAGAGTCATTGAGTCCTCGTTTCCAGCTGCACGCCGCGCGCACTTCCTGCTCACCTCACCTTGCCGTCTCTCCCTCCTCTTCTCGCCTCTTCGCCCCCCCATGCCATCCTTCAATTCTTCCGTGACCAATAGACAGTTCCAGCTACAGGTCCAGGGGGTGCGTCCGTCAGAGTGAAGGGGCTGAGCCGAACGGTCATTCACTGTCCCTGGGTGCGTGGCTGAAGTGGAATTTCGCGATGCGGATTATTGTTGTTGTTGATGTTGTTTGTTGTTTGTTGTTTGTTGTTTGTTGTTTGTTGTTTGTTGTTTGTTGTTTGCTGTTTGTTGTTGTCGTCGTCCCACCCGCGACCCGCCCCGCGACCCACCCGCGACCCACCCCGCGACCCACCCGCGACCCACCCGCGACCCACCCCGCGACCCACCCCGCGACCCACCCCGCGATTCACCCGCGACCCACCCGCGACCACCCACACTACCCCCGACCCACCCCCGCGACCCCCCCCCCCCACACCCGCGACCCACCACCGACACCCCCCCCCCGGGCGACTCCACCCGCGACCCAACCGGTCGACCCACCCTCGAACCCACCCGCGACCCACCCCGCGACCCGACCGCGACCCACCCCAAAACCCCCCGGCGACAAACCCGCGACCCACCCGCGACCCACCCGCGACCCACCCGCGACCCACCCCGCGACCCACCCGCGACTCACCCGCGACCCACCCGCGACCCACCGCGACCCACCCGCGACCCACCCGCGACCCACCCCGCGACCCACCGCGACCCGCGACCCACCCCGCGACCGCACCCCGCGACCCACTCGTGGCCAACCCGCGACCCACCCGCGAACCCACCGCGACCCACCGCGGACCCACCCCCGCGACCCCCAAAAACTCCCGCGACCCACCCCGCCGCCCCCCTCGCGACCCACCCGCCACCCACTGTCCGACGACCCACCCCGCGACCCACCGCGACCCATTCCGTGACCCCACTCCGCAACCACCCGCGACCCACCCGCGACCCCACCCGCTCGACCCGGCCCGCACGTCACCCCGAATCTCCCCCCAGTCGACCGCCCCTCGACCCACCTGCCGCGTACCCACCCCGCGACCTCACCCTCGACCACACCCCGCGAACCCACACCCGCGCCCCACCCCGCGCCTCACTCCGCGACCCACCGCGACCCACCCGCGACCCACCCGCGACCCACCCCGCAACGCACCCAACAATTTCGGCGCCTGCGGTGGGCTTCTTTTGCGTTCGTTCCAGGTGGAGAACCTGCGACCCACCCGCGACCCAAACCGCGCTCAGTGTACAAGTCAAATTTTTCGGTGCGCGGCGCCTGCGGCGGGCTGTGTTTGAATTCCTTCCAGGTGGAGGTGGAGAGCCCGCGACCCACCCACGACCCAAACTACGTTCACTGAACAAACCAGAACTACGCCCGCGTCGCCTGCGCCCGCCCCCTCACTCTTATCCGCAATGGCGGGGTGCTACGTATATTTGTGTTGTAGCATTCGTGCCTCAGAAGGGGGCCCCATCTACGGCCCCAGTGGGTGCGCCCGCATTCTGGTCCTGTGCTGTCCTGGTGCACCCCTCACACGTTTCGTACCCCTCACTCTATTTGCAAGGGGGCTCAACGTCGGCGGCCCCAGTGGGTGTGCCCGCGTATTTGCCAGGGACCGTTCTGGTGCACCCATCACACACTTCGTGCACCAGAGGGGTCCCAACCTGCAGCCCTAGCGAGTGCGCCCGCATTGCTTGCCCAAGAAGGAGCCCCCATGAAGGCCCCAGTGGGTGCGCCCGCATACTCAACTGGTCCCGTGCTGCTCGGGCGCACATCTTATCCTTATGTAGCAGCGCCCTCCTCACATTCTCATTCTCCGCCTGAGTCCGTTGTGGTCCGAGACGACGCAGCTTACCAAGACGCCAAAGACAGATTCTTGTCTTGCCAAATTCACCGCTTTTCTTTGCTTTTACAAAGAGCCCTACATTCGCAGCCATGCCGATCTCCAAGGAGATTCTGATGCATGGCGTCGCGGTGGCCCTGGTCACCGCCCACCTGCTCGGGGGATCCAGCCCATGGGTCTCCAAGTCCACCGCGGTCACGGTTGCCATCGTCCAGAGCGTCAACGCGCTCGGGGCCCTGGCGGCTCGCCCGTACCAGCACGGGGGGGGCGTGGAGCGCGACGGCCGGCGGAAGGCTCGCCCCGATGACGAGACGAGCTGGCGGCCAGCCCTGTCGCCACCGAGAGCTGGCTCACAATCGCCGCCCGCTGCCGGCCCAGCGCGCGCGGAGTGGCCGCGCTCCAGTTCGTTGGCGGCGGCTGCGTGATCTTCGCCCTCGCCCGTGGCCTGAAGCTCAGCGGCGCGCTGACCAAGCCGCAGCACGCCGTGCTGCCAGCACTCGTCCTGGCGCTCGGGGCCGCCTGCTCCTGAGGGCCCTGGCAGGAGGTCGCAAGCCCGAGCAGGAGAGCGCGGGCGAGCTCGAGCCAGAGCACGCCGACGACGAGGACGAGTGCTCCGACCCCGCCGAGGATCCGTACCGCCCGTCCTTCTGGGAGGATCTCACCGAGCAAGAGTCGGCCGAGGGGCCGCCCAGCTCGGAGCAGACGAGCGCCGACGTGTACCTCAAGTGCGTCCTCGGCATGTGACGAAGGTCGCTGCGGGGTCTTCTGATCAGCCGGCTGAGGCAGGTGCTACTGCGATGGCGTGGGTCTGCGATGACGGGGGAGGCGGGGGGAAAATATGTTGCACCTCCTCTTGTGCCACCACTGGCGGAGGAAGAGGAGGTGGGGGAGGAGGGGGAGCACAGTTGAGCATCGCCTCCTTGAAGTAGCAGTTCCCGCATCTGCGAGTCTACGAGGGGGAGCGCGAGTAAGACAAGGGAGAGGAGAGGGAGGAGACCTGCAAGGTGCGCCTTCCTCCCCTCTTTTCGTCTTGGGCTCTGGCGGGCCCTGATCCTTTAGTTCAGGAGGCTTCTGTGCTAACTGCCCGCGAAGACTTCTCATGTAACAGTGGAGTGAGGTTCCAGGGTGGCCCAAAGAAGATCGCCATATAGCCCTGAGAGTGCTCCACTCAGAGCCATGGGATGTCACCCCAAAACGGCCCTCCTGTACCTCAGCATGGTCCCAAGACGATCCCCAAACAGACCAATGAATCCGGCGCGACCCCAATCAGGGATTACTTTGCAGTTCACAGCGGTTCTGTGCAATGCAAAGCAATTCAAAGCAAATCATTGCTTGGCATTGCGTGGCATCGCTTGGCATTGCCTGGCATCGCCTGACATTACCCCCAGGGGGCCCGAGGAACCACTTGGAATTCCCCGAGGAATCCAAGCACATAATAAGACCAAGGAGCTTGAGGTAGCCTGGGGAAGGCCTCTGACAACCGACCCTGGACCCATCACCTTTCACAAACAAGTAAGGAGCCCTTGGGCAAAGCAGAACCTTGAGGAAAGAGGCTCCAAGAGGCATCATGCAAGAAGGCCCAATCTTATTCCACAGAAACATGGGCCATCGCTCGCCGATCATCATGAGTCTCTGACGGGCTGCCGTCAACACTGATACGGACTGAAGCGTCTTCGGTTTGGGGGCCGCCCTGTTGGCCTCTCGAGAGAGCTTCCCGGTGGCCGCCCTGGACCCCCCTGGGGGCTGCCGTGGAGCTCTCCAGGGCCCTTTGGCTTCTGCTGGGTGCGTGTGGTGGCCACCTCGGAGCCATCTCGAGACGCTGGCTGCAGGGTTCGAGATGCTGGGCTCGAGTTGTTGTTTTGCCTTTTCTCGGGCCCCGGGACCGTCAGAAACGGATCTGGGGTGAAACACTCCAGCAGATGGACCCCAGGAAGGGGTCCCGGGAGCGATTTTGAGCGGAGGAGGAGGAGGAGGAGGAGGAGGAGGAGGAGGAGGAGGAGGAGGAGGAGGAGGAGGAGGAGGAGGAGGAGGAGGAGGAGGAGGAGGAGGATTTGGCCTCCATCCCAAGCCCTGGCCGGTGGGAGTGGCCTCGGGCCAGTGCCGCCGATCCGTGGCCCTCCCCCGTCCGGGGGGCGCCAGGGGGGGGGGTGGAGGAGGGGGGCTCCCTCCCTCCGGTTCCCGTGGGGGAGCCCGGGGCCCTCCCCCGCATACAGTCGGAGCCCTGAAGAAGGATCCCTTTTCGTTGGAGAGGGGCTCGGCGTTCCTTGATTGTTCTGCAGTTTGCCTTCAGCTTTTCTGAGGTTTTCCATGGGAAATCGAAATTCAACGTATGGGAGGAAGGGGCCCCGTTCCTTATTTAGGGTTCCTTAGGTCAACGCCCCGACTGTACTCGGGAGGGGCAGATCAGCAACAGAACGGGTCCCCCTCCGGAGGGGAGCCCCACAGGCTTGATGGCTTTTTGGCACTCGACATGTGGGACCAAGCCAGACAAATCCAGGTGGGCGCAGAGAAGTCGAGGCAAATCGATGTCGATCCAGGTGAATCCGAATCATCTCCAAGGAAGGTTGGAGCAAGTCGCGGCCGCTCTGGCGCGAGTCGAGCGACGGCAGAAGGCGTTACGCCTATATCGAAGGGGGAAGCTGGTCGAGCATCCGATCAAGAAACCTTCTCCCGATCAGTTGGGCCAGCGTTTCTCATCTCAACCAACTTGCCGGAAAGCTGGCCCAGTTCTTTAAGCACGCTCGCCCCTGCAGCACTCACCATCAAAAAAG